TTTTTCAAAATAGTAGAGTAAAGAACAGATTGGAAACTGGTTTATTAAAAGGTCAATATTAATTTTTTGTAGTTGAATCAGCCATATTACTATCCCTCAATCCCTTGTAGGTTAAATAATAATGTAATATTACAGGCATTTTGCTGGGAGACAGTGGTTACCCTCAATCATCCTACTTATATACTCCAGCACCAGAGCCTGTACTTCCACAGCGACCTAATCCGAATACAATAAGCTATAACATGGATCTGCAAAATTATCGTAATGAATTGAGACATTATTATTGTCAAACACGCTACAATCGTGCTCATAAAAAATATCGAAGAAATGGAAAAAACAATACAAAATCTCAACGATGCATTGATATCAAGCCATGAATTAAACAGTCCAATAAGATTCATCAGTCAGCTGAAACTACTGGCCACAAGACAGTTAGCGGAAGAGTGTGTAATCAAAGAAGAAACCTTATCTGAGGTAAAATAATTTTATATAATTAATACGGATATGATATTTAGGACGAAACAATACAGAGCTGTTTTTCATTATTTCAATGTTCGCCGTTATCCCCTACTATGTGTGAAGACACGAACATGCCACCGTCTTCAATTGACTCTCAGGTAAATTATAATAAAATAATTATACTGTACAATATTTTTATTTACCTATACAATGTTATTGTAGGTTGTTGATGAAATCGATGGCCCGCTGTATTTCAACAGACCTTCAACACCGACTTATGCAGTGCAAGCAACATCCAAAGTGAATCGTAAATTATTTTTATGATTTTTTTTTTTTTTTTTTGAATGATATAAAATATAATAAATGCATTTATTGTTTAAATTAAAAAATGTGTTTTATTTTTTACAATTTTTGTACATCTCCATTAAACGGATTATATGTTACAATTTGATCGTGTAAAATTAGACAATAAGCTGTAGTCTTTGCTGGAATATTTTTGATCGTTTCAAATTCCACTCGAAGGTCGACTATCGACGATTTTACATTGTCGTTTTGACGAGATAAATCTACCACCACGATTGGGGCTAGTAGAAAAAATTCGTGTTTTGAAAGCAAAGGTTTGGAGTGGTCTCTGTGTTAGTAAGACTTTTGAAAATCTGTACACGCCTTGTACATTATGTACATGGACATGTACATCAGTATTATTCCAGACGTTTTCGTGATTATCGACTTTAGATAACCGTTTTCAAAAGGTATGGGCTTGTTTTTGGCCAACGTCATAAGACCCAACCAATGTCCAAAGTTTTTCAAGAAAGTCTTGTTTATTAATAGCGTCGTTATCCAACAGCGATTGAAATGATAAAACGTAATATTTTTTAAGCGGTTTTTTTTCCTTGTTCGCTCATGATAAACCGCGTTACTAACTCGGATGTACTCCATCTTCTTTGACATGATTGAACCAATTCGGTCCAACATGTCCGAGTACAACGAGTGCAAGTTGAACTGTACACGTTGCTCGAGCAAATACTCCGCGAACCACTGACCGTGCTCTTCCCTCATTATCGCCTTGATCTCGTCGCTCTGAAATGGAATTGAATGATAAATCATAAACAGAGCGCATGGGCGCAATGTGCGTATGCTGAAAATCGTCTAAAGCGGAAACACTACGCGGACGGGATACGCCTGTAAAGAAACGTAAATGTGTTGCGAATTCAGACGATTCTTGTAGTGCGTGGATCACAACGTGTTCATAAGCAGTACGAACAAACCGTGACTAACCTTTTCGCGTAAGTTTTTTACATTCAGATTGTTTACGATTGACGCTATCCTATCTTTGCCGGTTACAGTCCGGTCGACCTCTTCGAAATCATATTCTACCAGATCGACCGACCATGTGTTTGCGTCCAACGTTGTCGTGGCAACGTTGAGAGCACGGGCGATTTCAATGCAAAATAACGTCAAATAATATTTAAAATAAAACATACCTATACTACAAGTTTTTTAACTAAATTATTTGGTTATGCAATTAATACTTTATTTTGTTTGATTGATGATTGATTTAAATCAATCAAATTTTCCAAAAATTCTTTAGGTGATATCCCAATTATTAATTCGTAATTACTGTAATTATTCTTCATAATTACATTTAGTTTCAATGTTTTTCTATAACGCATAAAAACTATATTATTAAAAATATTACTTGTACTAGGTATACTATGTATAAAAAAGAATTGACTTAACTATTATTAACTTGTACCTTCTTACTAAAAAAATCATTGCTCTTAAATATATTAAATATTAACAGATGAATATCAATTCTATGATATTGATAAATTTATAAGAGATTTCAGTTCTTGATATGGTATTCGCTCATGCACAGAGAGGTCACGGTTCAGTTCTGTGTTATGACGCTCCTAGTTTTCAGGAGCGTCTAAACACAGGAATGCACCTTGTGCATTCTGCGCATGAGAGTAATTTACTCATCACTATCGTAATGTTAGGCTGTTATCAATATATTATATCAAATCACTATAATAGGATAATAACATTATTATTATGATATGAGTTTTGAATCAAACTATTCAAAATTTGAACATACGTATTTTACATTTTTTTTTTTTTTGTGCTCCGACCATTTTAGTAAATAAATTATACATGCCAGATACATTTGAAAAAAAATCAAAACAGCAATAACTATCTATATCCGTACGGGCGAACACTACCGCGCGACTCTCGGGCCCAGTGGTCGGATCTTCGGCACGGTCGGCCGCGCACTCAACAGCCTGTTTTTCAGGGCGACGTTGGCCCGGTACGTCTCACTCTGCTTCGCCTTCCGGTTGACGTACGAGGACGCCTGCGGCCACCC